CTGGGGCGACAGGGAGACCCTGTCTCAAAAAGACCAAAAATAAAAAAGTGAAATAACCAAATTGACTTCAAAGAAAAGGAAAGAGCGAGAGAAAAAAGAAGGGGGGAGGAAGAGGGAAGGAAGAGAGGAATGAGGAGGAGAGAGGGAGGAGGAGGGAAGAGAGGGAGGAGGGAAGAAGGGACAGAGGGAATTATTTAGTTGACTCCTTTGGGTGAGGTTTTTGTCCAGAAGTTTTCATCAGTTTCAGACATGAGTAAAACCACACATTGCTCCTGAAATTGCTTGAACTTCATTCCAAGGTCTGCAGTTGATTTGAGCTGGATTCTGCCTGTGAGAGTCATTGGGATAGCAAAGCTTGTGTGCAGCCCCCGCAGCAGCAGCGTCACGCCTGTTCTGACCCTCTCCTGATCCCATAGCTGTCTCCACCAAAGACCATAAAGATGGTCTACTTAGAGGAAGTGAAAACATAACTGAAGTCAAAGTGCGGAGCAGGGCTTTTCCAAAGAGTGCAGGGCAGAGCTCTTCCAGACAGTGCGGGATAGGGCTCTTCCAGAGAGACTGTGTGGGACAGGGCTCTTCCAGAGAGTGCAGGGCCAGAGAGTGCAGGGCAGGGCTCTTCCAGACAGTGCGGGATAGGGCTCTTCCAGAGAGACTGTGTGGGACAGGGCTCTTCCAGAGAGTGCAGGGCCAGAGAGTGCAGGGCAGGGCTCTTCCACTGCTCCCTGTCCACCTCCTTCAGAGGGCATATGAGCCCAGCAGTCACTTGTAGAACTGACTGCCACTGCTGGGCTGGTGTTGCTTCTGACTGCTAGAAAAGCTGAACCTTCCCTTCCGTTCCTGCCTAGAAAGCCAGTTCAGTGAAATGAGTGTGCTTCACTTGATTCAGAAGTCTGTGCTTGGCAGTAGGCCCTGATGTTACATTCTTATAGTATTTTTTATTACTGTATATGTGTATGTTCCTGTAGAGGACAGAAGAAGGTGTTGGATTCCCAGAAGCTGGAGTTACAGGCGGTTTTGGATCTTCTCAAGTAGGTGCTGGGAATGGAGCTCAGGTCCTCTGGAAGAGAGCAATTATATTTAACCACTGAGGCGTATCTCCAATCCCCCTTAATTTTACTTTTAAAGACATTTTGTTGCTGCTTTTTTGTTGGTTTCTGGTAGAGTGTTACCAACCCGCCCTATCCTTCTCCTCCTATGAACATGCTGGCCCCTGAAAGTGTGCATAGCTGTCCTCATTGCTCGGACTGAGGCTCTACATGCACCATGCTTGGATACTCTGTCCCTGTGCTCAGAGGGATCTTGCATGCCAAGTACTGAGACTCCATAGATTTTAAACCACCAGATCTTTCTTTTCTACCTATTACTTATTTGCATACAGAAACACTACTTTCCCCCTATTGGTTTCTGTGTCCTTTTCCCTTGTAGCAAGTTATCTGATCTTAAGTGCAGCTGGACATATTAGCAACCTTGGGAATCCACAGAGACGTTTGGGGACGTGGCTTTGTGGTATCAAGTTTTCTTCTACAGAAAACTGGTCACCTTGATCAGTTTCACATTTTTAGAGAAGAAATTTAGAAAACAAGGGAAGAAGTTAATTGCTTACTGGCTCCCATGGCACAGTCAGTTGGTACATGGCACTTACACAGCAGTACACTTGCAGGAGAATGGATCCCTTGTATTTTCCTTAGCTCTGTATGTTGCCTTCTAGATGGACTGAGAAGGGTCTTGCTGGACTTAACCCATACCAGTGGAAGACAGGTCCTGAGTCCTTGCAGGTTCATGTGTTTGTGGGTGTGCCCACTTCTACCCTGTGGCATTGTCTGTGGGAGGGAGGCCCTGAAAACATGGGCTCCACCCCCACCCCCACAGCTTGCAGGAAGCCCCATTTGCATGTGTAAATTCATAAAACTACCCATAGACTGAGGCTTCCAGAAGGTAGAAGGGAAGATAATGCGGGGGAACCAGCAGACAGTGGCGCGAAGAGATCAGACTGAGGAAGGTGGAGGTTTCACCAGGAAACCGAGAACAGGGCAACAGGAAGATTGATCTCACCTTAGTGACCTCGTCAGCAGGGAGGGAGAAGAGTAAACTTCGAAGGGAGGAAGTGGATGCTGGATTTGTCCGGGTCTCACAGTTGCCGCCTACCACTCTTCACTACCCCTATTGTAGGAATCACAATTTAGCTGAGATGGAACTCTGAGGGACCTGGGAGCTACCTTGTGAGACTCCTCTCTGAAGAAGAAAGCCCTGGGCAACCAGTCCAGTCCTTCTTACTGTCCTACGGGGGCATGGCTGCCTCTGTGACTACTCTTGTGCGCCCAATCACTTTTCTTCTGTAGGAGAAGGCAGAGATGACACTCCAGGGTAGCTGGGGGGGGGGGCTAAGTGCTGTGATTGCCCTTTCTGTCCCCTGGGGACCCTGCCACCCTCAGTTGAACATCAGGATGTGGCATACTGAGCATCACCAGGGCTGTAAGTAGACCCCAGGTCACTGACCCTCTACCCTGTGTTTACCACCCTGCTGATGAGCATCTTCTGCTGTCTTGACAAATCATTTGCTCACTGTCCCCAACCCCCCTTTTTTGTTCCCACCCTTTCCCCTGGCTTCCTCCTGTGATTCCATGACTTCCTCCTGCCCCTTCCCCAGGCTTCCTCCTATGATTCCATGACTTCCTCCTGTGATCCCATGACTGCCTCCTGCCCCTCCCACTGGCTTCCTCCTGTGATCCCATGACTTCCTCCTGTGATCCCATGACTTCCTCCTGTGATTACATGACTTCCTTCTATGATCCCATGACTTCCTCCTGTCTCTCCCACTGTCTTCCTCCTGTGACTCCCTGACTTCCTCCTGTGATTCCTGCAGCCTTACTCTTCAGAAAACCGTCTTTGTTTGCCCTCCTGTGACTCCCTGACTTCCTCCTGTGATTCCAGGCTTCCTCCTGTGATTCCTGCAGCCTTACTCTTCAGAAAACCGTCTTTGTTTGGCCTGGAATCCAGCCAGTTCCTTGCTCCCTGCCTGATTCCCACTCCAGCTGCTGCTGGACTCTGCCGTTCTGCCTGCATTTAGCCCCGGAGAAAGGAGAGAGGGCTGCGCAGAGATGCGGTCCCAGAAAACGACTAGCATTGCAGCTGGTCCTGTGATGTCATGTCACGTCCACTCACTGGCAAGGGCAGACACTTTTGCTGAGACATGTAAGGGGTGACTTAGCAGAGAAAAGAAGGCCCTGGGACTCAGCCCACACCTCTCAGAAGTCTCCTAGCCTTTGGACAGAGTACAGGCCACTGAGCCTTGATCTGGACCCTGGCATGACATGATCTGATTTATGTTTGGGCTCCTCCCCTGGGATGTCTTTGAACAGAGCACTCGGCTTATTCGAAAGAAGGAGGTGCACAATCTGTGTGCTTTTCCTTTATATAGTGCCTGCTAAGTTTTTCACAGTGAGGGGCATAAGCCTGCCAATATAGCAAGCTTTATAGGTGGCAAAGACCCAATCAAGACCACCAGGCAATCAGCAATTGGCCTTCGATGGAGCTGGAGCTCTTCTGGCTGCTGGCCTCCAAGTCCCACGGCAGCTGCTGCTTTTGGGTTCCTGGAGAAGGTAGAGAAGCCTCTTTCCCCAGGAACTTCCTCTTCTAGCAGTTACACTGATAACCAGAGCTCCTGCCAAAACAGCTGAACATGCTGGGTATCTTAAAAATATCTAAATGCATTAGTGATTTGGGAGGTCAGCAAGGAAGACTCAGAGCCCAAGTCTGCTACTGCAAGAACCTGGGGGGAAGCTGACTTTGCCTGGGGTACAGGTAACACCTTCTAAGCTTGGGGTTGATTTTTCTCATCTCCCAGGCCAGGGAACTGACAGCACTGCGTTCCAGGCTTGCCCTGGGGAACCTGTGCCCCATACAACCTAGGCCGAGACCTCTGGGTCATTATTTGCATTTATAAGTAAAAAAATGTTCACAGAGTAAACAATCCCCGAAGCTGCAGAAATCTGCATGTTCCCCGTAAGTGTCCGAAGCACTGGCCACTCACTTCCTACAACGTACTGTGGCGTATAAGTGAAGCAACTACAGCTTCGTTGGCATTTGATCTTGGGCTGAGTTCTAGAAGTGCTTGGTTCTGGTGTCAGTTCTTCAGTGGAGGCCCAAGTCTAGCGCTTCCTACAACGTACTGTGGCGTATAAGTGAAGCAACTACGGCTTCGTTGGCATTTGATCTTGGGCTGAGTTGTAGAAGTGCTTGGTTCTGGTGTCAGTTCTTCAGTGGAGGCCCAAGTCTAGCCTCCAGTTGTGTAACTCAAGTATTGGGAAGAGTTTTGAGGAAGAGATGAGTTGTAGGGAGGCGTGCATGCTTCCTACTGGCCATTTCGGGATGACTTCCTAGCCTGCCCCTTCCGATGTCACTTAGCATCTCCTTCTAGTGTCAGGATGACACCTGCTTTCTAGCTGCCCCACTTCTAGACAGGGTTGGTGGTGGGGCAGAGCCTGCATCCCAGGGAAACAGGATGGCATGTGACTTCAGGACGGAAAGCCTGTGGAGGACATCACATCTTAGTGATTGCTATGAGGGTTTTGTAGAGATGGACTCTTTTGCAGTGTTATGTACATTATCTGTGTCAAAACCACCAGGGAGTGAGTTAGAGAAGAAATTGTCTACAATTTCCCCCATGTAGGAGCCTGTCTGGGCCTTCAATGCCCAGAGGTGCAGGCACCAAAGCCAGATGCCCTCTGGAGGCTGTTTCCCACACTAAGTACATTATGGGTTTCATGGAGATGCGGCTAAGATTTCCCTGGTGTACTGGTAGGAACCAATGACAGAAATCTCTGGACAGAAGACCATAACTCAAAGGTCCTGTGCCAGCAGTTATGGGTACACATGACAACCTCAGTCCCCCGTGCTGGAAGCCCAAAGTGTAGCCAAATTCCCAGCTTCAGGGGAGGGTGGCGGTGGATCTCGGGGGCCCTGGCTCGCTGTCCTCACCACGTGTTGCTTCTCTCTTGCAGGAAGAAGGCATCGTGAAAGAGATCGACATTAGCCACCATGTGAAAGAAGGCTTTGAGAAGGCAGACCCTTCCCAGTTCGAGCTGCTGAAGGTTTTAGGACAAGGATCCTATGGAAAGGTGAGTTAAAGGATTGGTCCTGGTGAGTCTAACTGAATGAGAGGAAGCCCTGGCCAGGCCTGGTAGAGTTCAGGTGGGCCTCGCATGGCACTGCCCATGTTAGGTAAACCTGTGCTTGTCAGAACTGTGAATACCTTGGCCCAGTTGGAACCCTGTGACCCAGAGCCTTGCAGAACCAGAATGCCCACACTCCTTCCTCTTTCAGTGTCATCCCAGCTTGGGGTTCGTCACTAGATGAGCCAGTCTACTGAATTCAAGCCAGTGAGTCTTAAAGACTACACCTCAAAAGCCCTTTTCAAAAGAAAGGGAGAGACAAGAGAATAAGAAGAAGGAACAGAAAAAAGAAAAAACCCGGCATTCTCTGGGTTGGCCCACATAGCTGTCACTCAGGAACCAGGAAGTAGCCTTGTAGCCTCCTCTTCTCCTCACTGGGTCAGTGCACAGCAGCTTTCCCTTGGACACCTCAGTTTCCTCACCTAGAAAATGAAGCAACGTGGCTTCCTTTGCATAGCTGTGCTGTGGATTGAGTAAGTCTTGGATCCCAGCTGGCAGTTGCCCTAGAAGGGTTCATGTGTGGAAACTGCTCCCTTCCTTTCTCTCCTCTCTAATGAAGCTGTAGTAACACCTGATTCCTTTCATACCTGATTCAGGAGGTGAGAAGCGATGTCTCTGTACTCAGGCCCCACCATGAGCAGTGGCATCTCTGGTGCTCTTAGTTAAGGTGATGGGCTGGCTCCAGCACAGTCCTCATGCTCTGTGTCCTTGGCACTAGCAGCTGGATGGGCAGATGCTGACAGCCCGACTGCTGGAATATATGACCTGAAGCGCACCACGAAGCCAGCACTTCCTGGAGTGAACGGAACCGTCCTGTCCCTTTAAAATAGCTCTTTTTGTGCCACACGTGGACATTTGCCAAATCTTGCTAATCTTCACATGAGCGTGCCAAGAAGAAGTTTGGCCTGGTCCAATCTTATTCACGATTGGTATTATGCCAAAGCCTGGGGTAATCACCTTCAGACACCCTCAGCTGAGGTTTCAGGAGTCTCACTGACACCCGCAGCTGAGGTTTGGGGGAGTCGCTCATTGACATCCTCAGCCAACAGTTCTGGAATTTCTTACACACCACATTGATATGATTATTTGCTAAACTTACCTTTGTTGTGTTTATGAGGTAGAATGCTTTCCTTCTTTTTTTCCCACATGTTAATGTAACAAGGAATCTGTTTACACTGATGTGTATTGCCATATTGTCGTTTGGGTTTACAAAATGGCTTTTAATAGGGTTCCTGTGGTTTATGAAGTAGTGAAAAAGAGATCTCAGTCTCTCATGATGTACACAGCCATTTCAGAAAACAGAAGACAGAGCCGATCGGAGGTTGGAGTTGAATGGCTTGACATTAATGAGAAGTGGAGGGGAATGGGAGGAGCTAACTCTTCCTCTAAGAGCCAAGATTTAAAAATAGACAAGCGTCCTCTCCCTTCCTGCCTTCCAGAGGCATTGCCCACGTGCTTCTCATGAGAGGGAAGCCTCCTGCGCAGGCCTGTGTCAGTGTCAGCAGAATGGCCTGTCCCAGGACAGGACATGCTGGGCAGAAGTGCTCCTCTGGGCTGCTTGACTCTGTGCTGTGACTCTTGTTATGTTGTGGCTGCTGCAGCTCCACCTGCGTGCCTGGGGCCAGGAAGGCAGGAAACGTCCTCAGCTCCACAGAAGTATAACCAAAGTTCAGATGTCTAGTCAGCAGTCTACCTGCATAAGAACTGCCCTGAACACATCTTGCTTGGGAAAGAGGGTATTAAAACTTAGGGAGAGGGTCTGAGCACGTAGCTCAGTTGGTAGAGTACTTGCCTTGCATTCACAAAGCTCTTGGGAGATAGACGCTGGAAGATCAGAAGTTCAGGGTTATTCTCAGCAACATATTGAGTTCAAGACCAGCCTGGGCTACATGAGATCCTGCCTTTAAAACAACAGGAGAAAAGGCTTTCCCACGGTCTTCCTGCAAACTTTCCATTCTAACTTCGCTTTTTTAAAAACATTGCTTTGAAATAAAAGTGTGGCTGAGCTGTCTTGACATAACACCGGTGGCATGTCACACACCCCCGCCCCTCAGTTTCTAACCTTATGTAGATGGGTGGAACCAAGGAATGTAGCTGGGAGGGTGGCAGTCAGGGGAGAGTGGATGAGGAGACAGTGGACATGTAGGCTGCAGTGAGGTCCCTTGGGGATCCCTGCCTGGCCAGCGTGGCTCCTCCTTGCCCTGGCACTGTCCAGGAAGTGAAGTTCGAGTCTCCTCAGAGGGCTGAACTGAATGGGCCTTGGAAGAGTCAGGGCCATTGTGGAAGCTCAGCTTAGACCGCCCTGGGACCTGCATCAGCAGCGAAGGAGTTACAAATGCACGCTGCATTGACCAGACAGATTTTCTGTTAGGAGTTTTTCCTAAGAGCAGTATGAGTGGCAGACTGGGGAGCCAGCCCTGGCCTGATTAGTCCACACTTTTGTTCCTCTCTGAAGACAGATACACTGTGTCCTCACCTACAGATGCAGAGCAGCTTATTTCTACACTGAGGAAGGTTCTGGGCTGAGCCTGGACACCACGGTCCCCAGGGCAGGCCATGCTTGGAAGGGACGTGCGCCAGGCGGCTGTGCCCGAGTGTCGGCCCCACTGCCGAGCCGAGACGCTCAGTGCTCTATTTGAACTGAAGTTGCGTGCCCCTTCTCTCACGGTGCTGGGTGACCCCCGCCGGGCCCTCCGCTCACCACAGGGAGAACTGCTGCAGTGTCTCTGATTCTGGGCACTTAGTGGCAGCACATCAACACCGTTAATATCAATGGAATGAAGTGTTTATGTTCCTTTAAAAAGCAGACGCAGAAATCCAATTGGAAAAGACAGGTGTGAGCACTAGCCAGTGTCATCAGTGGTCTCATCAGTAAAGTCTGGAATATGGTAAGGAAAAAGTGTTCAGTGTTCAGATGCTAATGCAAGAAGAATACCATGGGTTCGAGACTACCTTGGGCTACACACTGAGTTCCAGGCCAGCCTAGGCTATAGGACAAGACTTTGTCTCAATAGAATTTAAAAGTGGGGTCGGAGAGATGGCTTAGCAGTTAAGAGGACTAATTGCTCTTGTAGAGGCCCTGGGTTCAATTCTCAGTACCCACATGGTGGCTAATAACTGTCTGTAACTCCAGTTCCAGGGGATCCGATGCCTTCTTCTGCCCTCCGTGGGCATTGCACTTAAACACATGCAGACACACTCATACATGTAGAATAAAAATAATAAAACATTAAAAATAAAATTGAAGAGATTTTGTAATTTGTATTTATGTAATATCTGTTCAGAAATTAGCATCATTTCAAATAAACCGTAGTTGGCGCTGCCCAGTGAGTGTGGCTGTTTCAGCTTGGATGTCAGCAGGATGGGTGGCCACTGCTCCTGGATCATGCCATGCCTTCTGTCTCAACCCATTCTCTTTTGCTGTAACTGAGTTTGCAAAGACTAAAGCTTGAGCAGCTTCTAAAGAGAAGTTTATTTGGCTCCTGGTTCTGGAGGCCAGGAAGTTCACAGTGCTGCTGGCATCTGTGAAGCCCTTCCTGCTGTATCCTAACATGGCACAGGATGTGGGAAAGAACTTGCTTTGTGATAAAAACCACTCCGGAGAGTACCAGCAGTCTTAATCCACTCCAGAGGGCGAAACCCTGACCTAATGCCCCTTCAGCCCTCCCCACCCCCCAGCACTGCTGTGTGGAGATTAGGACTCCAGCAAGGAACTTTGGGGACATGGTCACACCATACCAACTTATATCTTTGGGCATGGGAAAGAGGAGAAGGGTCAGGTGGTCCTGGATGCACCAGACTGGAGCTTCCAAAGCCACCCCGCCCTGCGCTCTGCTTCCTTTCCCCAGGCTTCTTCCTGTAGGGGATTTACAGCTGTTTTTCCTTATGTGGATCTTCACCTGGAGGCTCCTGTGTCACCTATAACGTGACAGAATGGAAGGGTTCATCTTTCTGCCAGCAGAGTCTTACAAGGGCTTGAGCAGGGTACTGTCCTCCTCATGGTGACTCAGTGACACAGCCATGGGTGCAGCTCTGCCCTTGCACACTGGTGTACAGTCACCACAACAGGGAGGTGCGACCAGAATATTCTGAGTGGACTCCTCGGTCCCCACGGTGTCACTGCCTCCACTGTCTGGGTGATAGAGAATGAGGACTTAGCTGCCATGCTCTTATGTGACTGGGAAGGGCTGCAGCCCTCCTGTGATTCATATTCCAGGTGCAGGCACACAATAGCTCTATGTTCTTGACCAGTGTGGGGCCTTAGAGTTTGCATGGGCCTGCAGTACCCGGAAGCACACACAGAAGGTCAGGTCCATGGGCTTTCCAGGGTGGTGAGGCAGTGTTTGGGAAAGAGGAACACAACAGATCACACGTGAGGGCAGCCACCTCTGCTGACAAGTGTATCACAGCCCAGGGTATTGCTCTAGTCTCTGTCACCCAGCAGGGTTTGCATCAGTTAGAAAGTACTTTTTAGAAAATCAGTATTTTATTCATTTGTGGGGAACCTTTTAATAAGAAATACTCAGCATTTTTCTTCACTAATTTGGTTCAAAGCTTACTATCTCCTTAAACTCAGCCTATTGCAATTATCTTTTATTTCATTGATTAATTCCATGATACACATCAAAAAGTGTTTCAGAAAATGTTAAATATCCATACATGTGTGCTTAAGGGCCAGTGAGAAACTGTCTCTTGACTCAGGTTGCCGCTACTAAAATTTTGGTGAAGAAAGTTCAATTAAGAGAAGCTGGTGTCTTGACAAACAGGTAGCTCCTGCTCTATACGGCTAGAGCGCCCCTCATGGACTTCCCTTACAATTCTCCAGTACGGTTTGTTTTTCTTCAATAAGGGTGGAGGTTGGCCCCCCTTTTGGAATCAATACAAAGTTAGTGGCACCAAACCAGGTGCAGGATGATGCCCACCATGGAGATGCAGCAGGTGGATGAAGCTTCTGGGGACCCAGATGCTGTAGAAGGCTTAAATTCCCCACAGTGCAGCAGTGACGGGCACGTCCTTGTCAGATCATTAAAGACAATGACCTAGCTTCATTTCTGTTGCTGTGATAAAATACCCTTTGAGGAAGCAGCTTAGGGGAGAAATGGTTCCTTCTAGCTCATGGTTCTAGGTTACAGTGCATCACTGCAGGGCAGTCACAGAGGCAGGAGGTGGCTGGTCACACCATAGCCACAGTCAGGGCAGAGAGAGGAAGGCATGCCTGTTCACCACTTGCTAGCTTGCACTCAGATCGACCTCTCCCCTCTCACACAGTTCAGCACGTCCCGCCTGAAGAACTGTGCTGAGGCTTCAAACATTAACTAACTGTGCTGGATAGCTTTAGTGTCAACTTGACACACCTGGGTTGAGGGAGTCTCAATCGGGAAATTGCCTCTATTGGACTGGCCTGTGGCCCTGTCTGAGGGGCATCTTCTTGATGAGTGATGTGGGAGGGCCCAGCCCACTGTGGGTGGTGCCACCCCTGGGCAGATGGGCCTGTGTTGCATAAGAAAGCAGGCTGAGCAGGGGCCAGAGGAGCAAGCCTGTAAGCAGCATTCCTCCATGGCTTGTGCTCCAGCTCCTGCCTCCAGGTTCCTGCCCTGAGTTCCTACCTTGGACTCCCTGATGAACTGTGATCTGGGAGATGTAAGACAAATAAACCCTTTCCTCCCCAAGTTGGTAGTGGTCAGAGTGTTTTGTCACAGCAATGAAGAACAAACTAAGACAGAAATTGGTACCAGAGAGTGGGATATTGCTGTGACAGACCTGACCTTGGTGTTTTGGGGAGGACTGTGGAAGTGTTTGGAACTGAGGGCTGGAAAAGCCATTGCGTGCTCAGAGTTGGTTGCAGTGGAGCTTGGAACAGTTATGCTGAAAGAGCTGTAGACGATGGAGGCCTGGCTTGTGAAGCTTCAAAGGGAAACGGAGACCATCAGGGCTGTTTGCGTGAGATTTGGGTTCTGGTCGGCTGGGGCTGAAGAATCAGCTGTGATTAAGAAGAGACCAGAACCTGAAGCAAAACCTTTGCTTTCCTGGGACAATTGATGCTGGTTAGCTGGGGCTGAAAAATCAGCTCTAAGTAACAAGAGACCAGCATCACTGTGGTGGAATCTTCTGGGAGGTATTTCCTCAGGGTCAGCACACAGAGGGGACCCGCACCTCTATTTCAAGCTGGAAGCAGGACTTGGTAATGTGTAAGAGTCTCCTGCATGGTTCTGGTGTTGAAAGCGTGAAGGGGTCACAGAGAGCAGCTGAAGCTTGGCACTCTGAGAGGCCGGGAAAGGCCATAGGTGAAAGTGCAGCTTCAGTTGCAGTGAAGACCCCAGTATTGAAGGGGTCATGGAGAGAAACTGAGGCTTTGCACCCCAAGAGGCAAGAAGAGGCCATTGGTGAAGGTGTAGCCTCAGTTTCAGTGGCGACCCCAGCTTTTTGGAGATGCCGGGACCATGGGACGACCACCAAGGACAGCGGCAGGGGTAGAATGGAGCTGGCCTGGGTCTGCGAGATGAGCTGAGTGTGCTGTGGACGGCAGAGTCAGAGCAGTGGAGCTGCCAGAGCCCTTTGGAGCCAGAAGATCGAGAGTGAATCCCAGATGTCCAGCCTTGAGCTACTTTGCTGGACTTTGGTTTTGCTTAGGTGTGCCCGATTCTTCCCTTTGAAATAAGACAGTACTTGTTTTGGATTTTACAGAAGCCCACCCACAGTTGAGACTTTTAAAAGAGACTATGGACTTTTAAGTGTTTGGATTTTTTAAGGACTGTGGGGTTTTTAAGGTTGTACTGTCTTATGTTGTGATATTAATGTTAACATCATAGTTTGGGGACAAGAATTGGAAACCTTATGGTTCAATAGTGATATGTTAGTGTGTCAAGTTGACACGAAAGCTATCCAGCACAATTGACCCCTTGTCAACTTGACACACCTGGGATGGGGGAGTCTCAATCGGGAAATTGCCTCTATTGGACTGGCCTGTGGCCCTGTCTGAGGGGCATCTTCTTGATGAGTGATGTGGGAGGACCCAGCCCACTGTGGGTGGTGCCACCCCTGGGCAGATGGGCCTGTGTTGCATAAGAAAGCAGGCTGAGCAGGGGCCAGAGGAGCAAGCCTGTAACCAGCATTCCTCCATGGCCTGTGCTCCAGCTCCTGCCTCCAGGTTCCTGCCCTGAGTTCCTACCTTGGGCTCCCTTATGACCTGTGACCTGGGAGTTGTAAGACAAATAAACCCTTTCCTCCCCAAGTTGGTACTGGTCAGAGTGTTTTGTCACAGCAATGAAGAACAAACTAGGACACTAACCTAAGACAATCCCCCACAGACTTGTCCCAGCCAACCCAGTCCCAGTGTAGACAGTCCTTCAATGAGACTTCTTCCCAGGTGATTCTAGATCCTGTCCAGTTGACAGTTAAGCTAATCATCACACACAGCTCCGTTTTCCACTTCTCAGGTGTTCCTGGTGAGGAAGGTCACAGGATCGGACGCTGGCCAGCTCTACGCCATGAAGGTCCTGAAGAAGGCCACCTTGAAAGGTGAGGGTCCCGGGAAAGGGCTGGCTCATTGAGACACATCACCACAGCCTTCACTTAGAACTTGAGCAAATGTTGGTTTCAGGAGCTGCTCCCGGAGGAGGGCACTAGGCACGTCCTCTTGGTGACAAACATAGAAACTTGTCTTGGGTATTTAAACTAGTGGTCTAAAGTTTCCAGTTTGCAGAGAGGCAAAGTGAGAGAAGTTTCCACTATGCCTCTCAGAGGAGAGGCATATTGCATTCATAGCCGTCTTCTGCATCTGTTCCACCCCAGAGAGCCATGTGGGGAAAAGAGCAACGAAGAAGAAGCAGGTGGCTCCGACTGTGCGGCATGACAGTCGGCCCCAACACCACCCGTTACACTGGATTGCTCAGATTCACACAAAATGCCACTCGCCACTGTGTCCCAATGACGGGGGGTTAGACATGCAGAGGAACCGCTGGTTTCCATCCTCTTGCCTGTCTGTCCTCTAAGCAAGGTGTAAGCACTAAACACAGGAGCTAATAATGATGTGAGCCACAGCCACAGCCCAGATCCCACAGCCACAGCCCAGAGCCACAGTCACAGCCACAGCCCAGATCCCACAGCCCACAGCCCAAAGCCACAGCCCAGAGCCACAGTCACAGCCACAGCCCAGATCCCACAGCCCACAGCCCAAAGCCACAGCCCAGAGCCACAGTCACAGCCATAGCCACAGCCCACAGCCCAGATCTCACACCCCACAGTCCAAAGCCACAGCCATAGCCACAGCCTGCAGCCGAGATCTCACAGCCTAGAGCCATAGTCACATCCCATAGTCATAGCCACAGCCCACAGTCCAGATCTCACAGCCCAGAGCCATCACCACATCCCATAATCATAGCCACAGCCCACAGCCTATAGCCGTAGCCCATAGGCAAGATCTCACAGCATACAGCCCATAGCCATGGCCCACGGTCCATGGCCCACAGTCCTTCTCCCAAGCTCAAATTGGAGCTCCCTTTGCCTGCTGTTCTACTCACCTCTCTTTATCCCATCAGTGAGGGAGCAATTTAAGACCATGACCAGAGCAAGAGTGCCACCAGCTTGTTAGTGACATGTGCTTGCCTGGTAGAGGTGGACCTCTCCAGCTGCATGGGCCCCATGGAGCACCCCGGAGCAGGGGCAGCAGAGGGCAGTTCTGGGCTGAGAAGGATGAGGTGGTAGGGGACAGGGGCTGAGAATGTGTGGTTGGTTTTGTGGATGCATTGAGGCTGGTGGAGAAAAGAAGCCTGTTGGGTAACAGTCCAGCTGCTGTTGCTGACGGAGGAGGCAGCAGAGAGGTGAGCCTCCCATGCATGGGGGCTGATCTGGTAGGAGTAGGGTTCCCATGGTTAGGCTTTTTGACACTGCAAGACCCAGATGATGTCAAGAGAACCGTGGATTTGGGTTCTTATAATGCACTGTCCTCAGCAGCAGAGGAGCTGTTCAAAGAGTGTGTCATTCTGTGCCTTCAACTCACTTCCTGTCTAGTCAAGAGGATACAAATACATGCTTTTTGAATGGCATATAAGCAGCAGTGTAGGGCAGTAGATGCATGAATGGAATATAGAGACGCTAAACATCTTAGCACACTAGAGAGAACAAAAGCTCCTTCAGGGAGACAGCTCCAGGTGTATGCGAGCCAAGGCTTAGGGTTAGAGCAGGTGATTATTTTCCATAAGAGAGAGAGATTATATTGACCAGTGTTCAGAAAATGCAAATACTGATTTACCTCTGCCAGCCTGGGTGGAGGTCTGTCACCTGCATGCACTTCTGGAGGCCACTGGAAACACTGATCAGTGCACCACAGGTGCAGAGGGACACAGCCTGGTGTGCAACTTTTTATAAATTGTTCAGTAATCTTTATGTGCACGAAAAAGTCTTTCTCTCTCTCTCTCTCTCTCTCTCTCTCTCTCTCGTGTGTGTGATGATAGATGATAGATAGATAGATAGATAGATAGATAGATAGATAGAT